GGGGGAATTTAAAGGAATGTGAAGAAAAAAAATTGGGGAGAAAGAAAAAGTAATCTGGTGGGAAAGAAGTTTGACTGATCACACATGTCGCCCTCCCTCTGCATTTGTGTTCATGATCTGAATATTCTGAGCTAACAAGTGGAAACCGGAAGACGTTGTGAATCATCATCAGGACAATCAGCTATTTTTCATCCTTAAAACACAATTTAAGATACATATATGCTTTAAACCACTTTGCTGTTTTTCCATTACTTTTGATTATGTGATGAGATGAGAAGATTGATGTAAAGGAGATCAGAGGCCACGGTTGGTCCAATCCTGCCCGTTGCCATGAAATTCCTCTTGATTTGTTTAGCCTTTTAACATTTTTCTCTGCAGAGTTAAATGTCTGAAAATCCACAGAATCTTTTGTGGAGCAAATTTAAATGTTGGAAAAGTGGATATCATCTGGCTGTCTTTACTCTTTAAAAACTCAGACTTTTGGTATTTTCCATACCTTCTGAACTTTAGCCGATTTTAGCTTCCACGGGAATCTGTCAGAAGGCACTCTGTCCCACCCTTATTCACATTTATCACACAGAAATGATTTACTCTGTTACAGAGCTGAACTCGAATGTTTTTGGTGACATCTGGCTGATGACAAGAAGACCTAACAGCCTCGGAAAATGTATGTGATCAGAAAGTCGGCACACGTTTTTATTTGATCCAGTTGGCTCCCAACACACAATCCACCCTTTGAATCTGCTCCAGAGGCATTTATCATGCATAAGTGTGACATCAGTTATGCATACTGTTCATCAGAGATACTTTTAAATCAGATTTCAAGAATTAAACATCTACTCCATGAATCTTAAGGAATCTTAGACCCACAAAGACAATGATATAGAAGACCAGCAAATCCCAACAATCTTCCTCTCTGTCCTTGATGTAGACTTAATAAATTGTTCTTTACTAAAGAAAAAACGTAATCAAAGTTATTAGAGTATCTGCCATTATTATGGTGTTGCCTCAACCAGATTAGGTGGTTGGATAACCAGATACAGCATCAAGCCAATTCCTGGATCAAAATAACAAAAATGGCCATCTGGGGATCATGTTAGTTATTTTAAATTCAATGAGGGATAATTGTCCTACATGGAGCTCAACCATTTAAAAAACACTTTTAGACCAAAATATTTATTCAGAGTGACAGCGAGACCTTTTTTGGCCCATGTTGGCCCAAAGTTTTCTGAAGCCAGATTCCAAGTATTTAGAGCCCAGAACTATTAACCGGTACAGAGTTAGTTGGGCTCTCAATAGGGCTTCATTAGCCAATGGGTTATAGAGTTGCTGTCTCCCTTTAGTGTTTATAAGAAAAAGACCCACAGCTAGAAGTCAAAAGTCAAGATTTATATACACGTAATGCCTTCTGCGTCAAAGTCAGAACCATTTGTTCTCTGATGAAGCATTTCAAAGGGGGCAGAAAGGGCAAAAGGACAATTTGTTTGAGGGAAGTACTTAATCTTAATCTTTGTTATAATTTTCATCATTCCAGGCAGATAAAACCCTTTTCTTACTTAACAACTCACAGCCGTAAGTGAGTGAGCGGATCACTCAGCTGTGAAGTAATGCAGGGTGGATACACTGCCAGTCCTATGACATGCATCAGAAACCGTGCCAGTAGTGCTAAAGCCTGTTTAACAAGTTTTTGGATTGCTCCGCTTTTTGAAAGTGTAGATGAGGATGATGAATTGTCTTTTTTTTTTGTTCTTCGTATGTCTTAGTCTGTTTTTTTTCCTCTTAGCCTAACAATGCTGTGCATGGTTTGCATTTACAGTTTTCTCTACAGAAAGGACACACACAGTGTGGAGAGTTTTTCAAGGCCATCCGTATGAAAAAAAAAGACAAGTATGAACAACAAGAAAGGCAGACTAAATGTTGTGTTAAATAACACCCATGTGACCTACTTTTATGACTGAGATGACAGCGCTTCATTCATTCAAGTTGGAAGAGACCCTGTAGTGATTGGCCTAAGAGTATCAAATTTGTCCGGCTCCCTCCTCAACCGTTTCCTCTTGTTGTGAGAGTGCCCGTCGTTTGTTCCTAGATCTGCCTGTTATGATGGAATCGCGGATGCTTTCTGTGAGATTCCTTCAGTGGAAAAGCTGTCATGTTAAATGAAAAAAGAACGTTAATAAAACGCATAACTTCAACTTTGACAAAAGTCCTTCTCTGCCAAGTGCACCTCCTTTTTCCACATTTTTCCCCTCAGCCCGGTCTGAACAATGTCAGTATTCTGTTAGCTCCGGGGCAAAAAGAAAGGAGAGCTTAAGGCTTTGATACAAAAAGCAAAAGGTAACGAAGAGATTGACATTCCTTGTTGGTGCCCACCATTGAAAGTCATCACAGAGACCGATTCACATGGATCACTTAAAATTCTAGTGGTGAGGCTAAAAATACACAGTTGATGCTTGCTAATAATGGGAGTTCTACACTACGGGTGTAATGATACTGTTTGGCTTCCTAATGGGTACACTTGAACTCTGACCGGTGACCCGCTCGGTGGCGACGAGGCCGTCATTCCCAACTGAACACAAGTAAATGTGCCATTAACACTGACAGGTATGCATGCGGAGGTCCTTCAGCTGCACACTGAAATCTGTTCGGTAAGATGCAAACAAACGCATCACTATGAAGACAAATCAAAGTCACGCTGAGCTCTTTTTTTTTCTTCGTTTCTTGAAACAGGCACTCACGTATAAATTGTTTGTGGCAATTACAAGACTTGGACTTTATTATTGTCACTACATGGCCCTGTGCTTTGCATGAAACTGTGCGGTGTAATGCAGTTATGTTTGAATGATGATAGGAGTGGCTTGGTTGTCATGCCAAAGCTTTCAAAAGACTCTTTGTGTAGAAGCATTGGTTATAGCCAGAGACATCCTCCTGGTATTTATTTTGAGTTCCTCCAGATGCTGGAAATTCTATCAACTGAGACCACGTTAAAGGCCATTCTTCTAACATTTAAGGCTACTCCGAGGATCATTAATCCTATGCCACACAGTGCCGCCTGCAGCTGCTTGGTTATATTTGCAGGAAAGCGCGATCAATCAACAGAAAAACATCAATTCTGAAAAGAAATGAGCAGAAAATCTTCAATTTTACTGTAAAGGTTTGGATATATTGAACCTTGATATGGAAGGGAATTACTTTTTGCCAAAGATTTAATTACAGCTAAAATAAGCAAACTAGCAAACTTCTGACTACTGGATACGCTGTTTGTCTCGATGATATACTATCAATGATGGGTTTTGTGATGGGAAGTTGCAGACTCGGGGATAGAAAAACATACACTCCTGGTGCCGTGCTGTGATCATTATGACTGTGCTGTGCTGTGCAACCTTGGGTGTCTCTGTCATTGTTGTTCTTTAAACAATTTAGGAATCTGTGTTTTTTAATCTTCAGTGATTAGACTGTTTTTCAGTCTCACTTTCTTTAAATATTACATTTTAGGTTGGTGAACACCAATAAGTAGTTGAAAGAAACTAATGAATAGGGCCTGAAAGAGTGGCAATGGGGCTTTGTTGTACCAAATTACCAAAACACGTGAGTTCCTGTGTTCCTGTTTGAATATATAGCATTTCACAGGCGGGTTTTCTATATATTCAGAGAAAAGCGCTTGTCAGTAATAATTGTTTTAAAAGAAAACGGCATTCAAACAACTAGATTCTCTAAATTATAATACTTGGGAATGCATTACTTCCTGCAAATCCATACCTCTGTTTTTGCATTTTAAAAAATATTACACAACATCCGATGGAAAGTCAATCAAAATAAATGTGACAAGAATGTGAATGAGCCTGTGTTTGGAAAAGCCGTAGTTTACACCTGACACCAAGGTTAGGAGTCTCTGCCTTCTACTAATACAAATACAAACCAACAACCAATTACACCGTGGTGCAAAGTCAGATTAAGACTGAAGTAAAACTTGAGCTGGAGTTAGGAATGTGTCTGTACATGTTTTTGTCTCATAGGGACGGTTGGGTCAGCTGGCCACGATCAGGTTCTGAAGCCCCAAGAGCACAAGGGATGAAGGCAGTAAGCCTCGGGGGCGGGGACTACTGGACAGTCATAAGACAAACACAAGCCTCTTCTGTAATCAAATTTCCCATGGTGGAAGCTGGCTGGAAAAATAAGGCTGTATATGTACATACATACATACATACATACATACATACATACATACATACATAC